CTGGAAGGACGAGGATCGCAGGAGGAAGCGACAGCATAGTTCATAAATCCGATATTTTATTGGGTGTTCTTTGGCCTCAGCCAAGAGGATGTTCGTGGGGGTGGTGATCCTTAGGCCAAGAGCTAGCCGGATCGCAGCGTTTTGAATCTTGGAGAATTTATCAAAGTGAGTATGATTTCTGAAGGAGAAGATGTGTGAACCATATTCCCACTGACTTCTAACAAGCGAGCGGTAAATGTTTAGAAGGATGGAGGGATCAGCACCCCAATAAGTTGACCGAAGTACTTTAATAATTGAAAGGAAGTTTTTCGCTTTGGAATGAATGTATTTATAATGAGGAACAAAAGTTAATCTGGAGTCGAAAATAACTCCTAAAAACTTAGCTTCGGGGATCGGACAGATAGGAGAGTTGTTGATAGTGAGCGAGATGTTGGGAGGGATTTTCCTATTAGAAAAAATAATAAACTGAGTTTTTGGTGCAGAGATATTAAGGTTACGTTGCAGAAGGAAAGGAGTCAGTTTATTTAGTGAGGTTTGCACCCGATTTAAAGCTACTTGCAGATTACGATCAGATGCAATGATATAGAAGTCATCAGCGAATTTGAGGAATTTACACTTGGAGTGAATAAAGTTAGGAGCTTTGGAAACATAGAGATCGAATAGGATAGGGGCAGAAATAAGACCCTGTCCGACGCCTCTGTTGACGAATTGGGGAGAGGAAAGGGAGTTGCCTAAAACAAATTGTAGGCTTCTAAGGTTGAGAAGGTTAAAGAGGAATTGACAGTAATTAAGGGGAAGGCCGCAGTCCAGAAGATCTTTTATGAGTATACTAGGTACCACGTGGTCGAAAGCCCCGACAAGGTCTAAACTAACCACTACTGAATATTGGCTGTTAAGTGACGCCTCGAGGATTTCCGCGTTGAGGGTCGCCAGAACATCCGCAGTGCTTCTGCCCCGACGAAAGCCGAATTGGCAGTCCGGAAGCAGGAGCCTGTTTTCTGCCCACCAGGTGACTCTCCTCATAATGATTTTTTCCAGCAATTTTAGAAAACAGGATGCCAGGGTGATCGGTCTAAACTTACCAGAAGTAGGTTTAGGAATAAGATAAACTATAAATTCCTGCCAGGATGTAGGGAAAGAACCTGAGAAAAAAATATCATTAAATGAAGATAACAGGGAGTTAAGAAAGGAAGGAGGGAGACGTTTAATGACGCTGTAGGGTATCTGGTCTAGACCAGGAGAAGAGTTCAATTTGGTTTTAGAGAGAGCTGAGGTAAGTTCCGTTAACGTGAACGGAGTGAGTAAGAAATTGTATTTTGGAGCTGCAGGCCGTGGAGTATAAGAGGAGGTAAGTTGATGAAAGGTGACATTGTTACAAGGAGAGTGCGAAGATGCAACAAATTCATGCATGAACGTCTTCATAGATTGAAGAGTAGTTTCATTCTGAGGAACTAAAGGAGTAGACTGATGACGATTCTTGAAAGATTTAATCCTGTTCCAAATGACCTTGATTGAGGTACGTTGATTGAAAGTGGAGCAAAAGTGGACCCAGCTCTCTCTTTTGGCTTTCCGGGAGACACGTTTCCAGCAGGCTTCGAGACGGTTGCACTCAATGAGATTAGGGACAGTAGGGTATAATCTCAGGACACGATATGCTGCTCGTTTATCTTCAAGCGCTTCTTGGCATTCCTTGTTCCACCAAGGAGCAGGAGGAGGTTTGGGATTGGGCCGAGGTGAAGAAACGTGTGACGAGGGGATGGCGATCGATAAACAATTTTTAATTATGTCAATGATTTTCTGATATAGGGCTGTTCCAGAGAGGGTTTCAGGGGAGTTTAGTAGCTCCGTTTCACGAGCGTGAAGATTAGACTCAAAGAGATCCCAGTCAGCGCGGGAAAGATTAAGCTTATGAGAATATATGTGATAGAGTTCAGAAGTTAGGCCGAGCCTAATTTGGATAGGGTAGTGATCGCTCCCCATTGAGTCAGATAATGTCTCCCACGTGGAAACAGAAACTAGATCTATAGAGACGAATGTGAGATCAACAGCCGATGAGCATTGGTTAGGTCGGAAGACCCGAGTGGGCCTGCCGTCATTAATTACAACAAAATCATTGTTGATAGAAGCGTTAAAGAGGGAAGAACCCACGCAGCAAGTCGAGGCGGAGCCCCAAGAGGTATGATGGGCATTAAAATCTCCACCCACTAAGACTAGAGGAAAAGAGTTGAGAGTTTCAAAGAAGCTAGGCCAAAAAGATGGTGAGAATGCTGACTGAGAGGGAGGACGGTATAGGGAAACTATTAATAGGTCGCCCAGATGAGTAGGAGTAGTAATAGCCACGATCTCAAGATGACTGGAGAAGGCGTCAAAGTCATTGACTATAGAGAAGGTACGGTTTTTCCTAAGAGCGATGAGAACACCACCTCCGGGATGAGCTTCACTCCTATCTTTCCTGATAACGTTGAAGCCCCGGGGGCTAAAGACATCCCTGGAAGAGAGCCAGGTTTCGGAGAGTAAAATTACGTCGGTATCAGATGGAAGTAGACGGAGATCATCTTTCTTTCTTTTAATGCTTCTCGAGTTCCACTGAATGATGTTGATACGAGGCATTTTACGTGGGGCTGTGAATTTTAAGCTATTTCAGGGAGAGGGTAGCAGCGGGTAATGTTTGAGATGAGGAAAGCGCAGTCGTTAATCAGATTCGAAACGTCAGGAGGTGAGGAATCAGGTTTAAGAGAGAACAGCTGGATGTTCTGCAGTAAAGAAGAGATATTTTGCAGGAAATTAGAGAGAGCTGGAAGATTGACTTGATGCAAGATGAGCTGAGGGTCCTGTGGGTTTATGGGATGGGAAGAAGGATGGGGAGGTGAGGGAAGGGGGCCTGGGGAAGAGGGATAGCGCCCGTTAGGTGCTATAAGGAGACTGCGATGCTCATCAGACATACCTGTGCGAGAAGTTCTCGAGGGTTGTGGCGTTCTAGAAGAAGGTGGAACATGATTAGGTCGGCTGACGCGATAAGAAGTAGAGCTAGCGAAAGGTGTTGGGGGGGTGGCTGCTACATGCGAGTAGCTAGGCGGAGGGGGAGTGGGCGTGTGATAAGGGGGGGAGGAGGGATATGAGGGTGAAGGGTTAGTAACTGGGGAAGGTGGAAGAGAGGGAAAGGCTTGGTGGTTGAACGGGGAAAAGTCAACCGGGAGGGATGAGGGGCAATTGGGGTAAGAGGATCTGTCATTTTGAAGGAGACGATTAGCTTCAGCGTATGAACAGTTGTTGTGGGCCGCAAAGGAGCGAACAGCTTTAAGGAGGAGAAATTTAGGGCAAGAAGGGTCTGTACTCAAGTGAGTACCCTTACAGTTGATGCATTTAGGAGTTTGAGGGCATATGGTACCTTCAGGATGCGAAAGAGAGTTGCAGCAAGGACAGAGAGGTTGGGATCTACAGACTTTACTTAGATGTCCAAGAATATGGCATTTTGTGCAGCGTGAGACTTTAGGGGTGTAAACTCTAACTTGGAAAGAAGATCCCCAGATTCTGACTGAAGAGGGAAAATTCTGGCCCATAAAGGAAATGCGGATAGAGCGAGAGGGAACCAACTCATGGAGACGTTTGTCGTATCGAAGACAGCGTTGAATGTTGAAGGCTGGGATGGGCGACTCTAGGCCCTCTTTAATTTCTTCTATGGAGACCTCTGAGTGAATTCCTGTGATCACACACTCCCTGAATAACCTGAAATTGGGTATGAAACAATCAAGATGTTTTTCTGCAAATTTTATATGATTAACTAAAGAATTAGCGAGTTCGATTTGGTTAAGTATAATAGAAAAGGTGTTACCTAAGTGTTTAGAGTCCTTCATACTCTTAGCTAGATTGAGAGAACTAATAATATTTAAAACGGTCTTACCTAATTTAATAGGGTGCCAACCCTTAGCCTCTCGAGGCTTAATCAATATCTCGTATGGACCAGGGTGTGAAGGAGGATAGCGGTTATTAAACATAGTACGGGTTTGCGAGGTTATGTCGTCTTTGGAGGAAATAATGTTAGGATCAGCATTATTAACAGGGCTAGTGTGTTTGTCATGGGTTAGGAAGGAAGGGTTAGAGCTCGTTGCTTTATCATTTTCGTTTAGGTTCGGGTTTTGTGAGACAGAAGAGACAGCTCTAAGTTTGTTTCTGGCATTAGCAGCAATGTCATGCTCTTGAGAGGGTGACTCGACTTTTCTTTTATTATTTTTGGAAGTAACGACAGTAAAATTACTATCCTGAGGAGTAATGTCCATAACTTCGTACAGTTTATCAGAGGCTTGATGAGTTTCGTCAATATCAGATTCATCACCATTCACACTATTGTCAAGCTGGCTAAAGCATGTTTGAGGGGACGCCATCTTGGCCACAATTAGATCATCTCGAACTTTATCCATACCGTTTTTCCCTATCTATTCATTTATAGGTGACAACTGTTGCCCTGTTGAGTCCCACAGTCAACCTCCGTTTTAACTGATGGTAAGATAGATTTCGTTTTAAGGGACGGGAAATTATCCATTTTGACGGTTGTCACACTTTCAAAAAAATAATATTATTAATGATGAAATATGACTCGTAACAATTACATATTGTTTATAACAATATGAATTTGTTATAAACAATTAAAAATTGTATTTATTGAATAAGTAATGTGTTTATCACATGGGTTTGGATGTTCTCAACAAACATTGATTATAACTATTTAAATTTGTTATAAACAATTACTAATGGGAAGTTCGTCGTGTTAGCACAGACAAAGTGTGCTCAGACCTATTTTTTTGTTTAAAAAGTATTATAATTAATATTCAATAGAGATTTTAAACTATATCAATTATCTCTATACAAAAATATGTTACTTATTACATACAATAAGATATTTTGAAATCTGATAATTCAAGACATTTATCGACCATGCATGAATTTTTAGTTGATAAGAAAACCAACAGGTGGCGTAAAATAATCTTATCAGAGGAGCATTTACGTTGATTACCGTGTACCTGGGTTTTTTGATTTTATACAAAAAAAAACTGTACACATTCAGAACAGACATCATTAATGTCAAAAAGTAAAAATGTGAACCAAAGTTATATTATAATAGTGAGATGCTGCAAATAATGGTCCCAGTTATAAATAGAGTGTAAAATAGTTGTTAAAGGTCAATAATCTCATGGAATAATACTTGAAAATTTACTCCATTAAATTCAGGAAAGCATGGGAGAAAAAGGTTTGAATCAAAATTACAATAATGCAATAAATTGACTAAACAAGTTGAAAACATTAAATTTTATCTTATAAAATATTATTATGTGTTTTAGAGCATCACGTGCATTTCAGTGGCGGAAGTGGTCTCGGCTTTAACAATATAATGATACAACCACAACGTCATGGTCACTTAGAAGCACATCTTGGCTTTCTTCAACGTCACCACCGGTAGATCAATTTTGTAGTACAATTATTAATTTATATTTTACTTTAATATATACTTTATTGGAAATCAATTTACTTAGGTATCACATTGAATTTTCTGTACCATGGAATCGTTGCATCCATGGAGATAATAAAACAGAAGTGCCAGCAATAGTTGTTGATAACACTAACCCAAATTGTAGGGTAAACGATGTACATCAGGAGAGAGATGATCTAAGGTAAAGAGTTTAATTATTTGTTAACTATTAAACCTATAATAAAGACATATTTATCAACAATTTACAAATTTAATATTTGTCAATATTTCAATAACGTTTGTATGACGATGGATCAATAATGACATAGATATAACTTTTTCAATAAATTTACTGTTTTCATAATTTAGAAATATAGAAAATAATGTCAAGTTTTATATTTACATAATATTTTTAATGTTTACATGATAATACTCTAATCACATTTCCAATTTTTAGAATAAAATTAGAATTACTAGCCTATCAGGAATTTCTTAAAGAAAGAATTCAATTAAAATGTTGTGAATCTGGTACTTCTCTCAATATCACCCTTAAAGCAAGAGTATTGAGTAAAGACAAAGGAACGCCAGTATTGCGAAATGGAATTCGGAGTATTCGCGTTGAAGCTGATGACGAGGATGATGTCTCTGAATGAAAATAATGTCAAATATAAATGTGAGAATTATAAAAAAAACCACCAAGTGCTGAAATATTGTTTTGATATGTAATTTAAGATGAAGAAAATAATCAAAGTAAGGAAATTGGTGTTAATATTTTTTTATTTATCAATAAATTATTCATTATAATTAAAAGAAATATAAATATATAATATATACATATACATATTTTGAATATTGGAATTACATATAAAATAAATAAAACTAATAGAAATTTTCCAAGAAAGGTAAAACACATTCAGTTCAAAACCTTTAACACTGAAAACTACCTTTTTTGGTTGGAATTCCGGTAGGACCATCAACAAATTCACAAATATTAAATCCTAATTTAACTAAAGGATGACAATTACTTCTAGGATTGCCCCATTTACCTTTGAATGTCAACCATGCAGGTGCAGAATCAGGATTGTCAGTGAAGAGTAATTCAAGCTTCTTCCAAGTAGGCCACGGAGTGCCAAATCCACTCTCATCATAAAGTCTTGGTAGCCTGACAAATTTATGTTTACCTGGTGCTGTCCAAAGTCCATGAGATCCTTTAGCACTGAATAAAACTGGATGAGATCCGCTTGATGTAAATACTTTCTCAGGAAAAATAGGCTTTTGAAAAATACCCTTCCGGGTTTCTTGACTCTCGTAAATGAAAGTTCCGCTTCTCACATCGTAGCGATAAAATGCACCAGCATCATGAGCAGACACGTACATTGCCACGGGATGATCATCTCCCTGTAATCATCATCATCAGTATCACGTGCACATTGCAAGTCAATTAACGTGAGCGATTTCGCTCTCACAAATGATTCATATGAAAGTTTATGACTTACTCACGATAGAGAAACAACTGTGAACAATTTATAAATAAAGTTCATAATAGTTGAGTATAACTTTTTACAAAAAAAAAAAAACAATTTAATTAAAGGTAATTATGATAATCTTTCTGGCAATAATAAACAACTTTGTTTACTGTGAATTCGTCAATCATTATCACTGAATCTTTCGTTTAAAAAAATCTACCACAATACAATTTTGAATAGTCTGTTATGTTAAATAAAAAAACATTTAATGAATACATATTTAAATCTTAAACTTACTTTAAAGTAAAGACTCATATGCTCCCAATCACCCACGTGATTACCATACTCTTTAAGCTGTCCAAGACAGATTCCCCCCACACTTGGAATCGGCCATGTACCAAAAAAACCAAGATCCAGAACACAAACCGCCTTTCCCTCACTGAACGGATAGAACATCCAATAGGTCACGTGAAAGTGCAGCTTCCTCAACCTGTTTCCCTCTGAGATCAATGTCGCCTCCCTGTGATTTGGCTCAGCTTTCGTACCGACCTCATTGCTTTGAATATCCAGATTATTCAAATTTTTTTTAAAAATCAATGCCCGCCTTTCTTTTGTCCGTCTTTTCTCAAGTTTAATTGAATTTAAATTCTTTGAATTAATGACCAGAGAAGAAGATGAAGGAGATAAAGACAGTGATGGTTGCTGTGATAATAATGGTAATCTTAAGCAATTTTTTACAAATGCATAAACCGGCACTGAATCAGCTGGTTCTTTACCATATAGAAATGAAGACTCATTCATCAACAATGTCTCTGAAAATAAATGAATTTCATACATGTAATTTTAAATGAAATTAATTTACTGCAAAAAATCTTGTTAATTCTTTTATTAAAAATTATTGTTAAAATAAATTAATTGAGTAATTATCGACTATGTTTAATCACTGTCCTCTTTTTTAAATTAAATTTATCTTCCATAAATAAAAAAAAGTATAGAAAAAACTTACTGACATCAACACGTGTACGCAGGTAATTGTCACCGGCTTGCACGTGCTCTAAGAAGTCGGGTACACCGAGAGGCATAAATCTTTCTCCAGGTGCTAGCCAAACAAGTGGAGCCCATCCATTCACCAAGACTTTTACTGCAAAATCAATGTAACATAGATAATCAAGAAACAAAAAATAATGATTATTAGTTAGTATTACGATAATTATTTACATAATGGTTAAATTCTAAACATTTCATTGGTATCACAATACGCAAGATGTTGTGAACAAAAATATATGATGAGACATACACTTTCTACATTTGCTCAATTACTATGTCTATTACATAAAAAATAAAACTACCACTTTATAAAGAGATGAAAGTTTTGCCGCAGTTTTTGTATCACTTCCGAATTCCATTTTTCTTATCCAATCAGATAAATAAATTTTAATTTTATTTCAAAATAATAATCATTCAATTTTTTTACGAAAAAATTTTTAAATTCCCTTGATGTTTATGACAGTTATTAAATGTCAATATAAATCTACGTTATTATTGTAATTTACTTTACAATTTATAAAAATTTTCTTATAAATGAAAAGATTTAAATAGTTGTAACATAATTTTATGTATGATTATTTTTCATTGAGAAATGAGTAAATGATGAATTTCCGGTTAGTAAACGAGTTCACCAATAAATACTCGATGATACAAGTCTCCTGAAGGTGATCAGAAGGCTTACAAGTGGCACGAGACACAGTCCTAAGAAGACCAGTGTCCTATTAGACCGATGCTGTCAATTTTCTATGCAATGTTCACTAAGGAGGGCACGCTAATTTATTTGCGATTCAAATAACTTAAACAAGAATCACAGAGCATAAAGTTTTATTATATGTTATTCATTAACATCCTGATCTTAAGAAAAAATCCAACAAAAGCTCGTTGAAGCAATTTTATTAATACCTTTTTATATTTTATAAACATGCATAAGCTAAAAAATAATTATACAAAAATTGTTACTTACTTCGGTCTTCGAAAATTTTTGAAGCAAAACTTGGACTTATAATAAACAGAACTATCAACAAAAGCAGTATCATATTTTCTCAAATACATCTTGTCCAATTGATGATACTTTATACTTAATAATGAATCATTTTCAAACTACAAATTCAATACTGTTTTCAACAAAAATACTGGTGAAATGAAATAAAATAATTTACAAAACAAAAAAGTTTAAAAAGTAATGATAACTACCCAGTGGTCCTCCAGGTGAAACGTCTGTGAGCGACTGACCGTATATTCCAAACATTTCCACGCGCCGTTCACCGGCAAGCGCATTAGGGTCGAATGGCACGTACACAACTGTCGATTTACAGTACAATTATACGTGTGTTTGGTATTACGAACCCAAAACGAGTATATTCACATTGAAAAAAACAAGTTTGGATAAATTGTGGAATGTAGTGTATTTAATAGACTTTTTTATGCTCTAATAATGCGAAAAATAAATATATCCTAAATATTATATAAAGTTAAAAAGTAGTATTTAACACTTCAATAAATACGATGATTGCCAAATACATTTATTAGTAAACACTTTGAATGTTACAAAGTACTCTTAGTCAATCAAGAATATATTAAACATGAAATTTTAAGTCATGAGAAGTTTATATTTAATTATATAATTGATTATTATAATTCATTGTCAAATATTATATGATACAATTGCTCATTCATTTGTATTCTTTCTTTATATAATTTCATCTATTTATATAGTATCAAGAATTGATTTAGAAATGTTGCTTGATATATATTTTTTAAATATTATATTTGGGGCAACTGTCAACCTATCAAAGGTGATAACTACAATGATTAAGTTATTTTCAATAAAATGTATCCATGTTATATTTAGAATCATCTCTGAGCATAAAATAAACAACTTTTTGCATTTCTTCTTTTTAATTTGTTTTTCAACAATCAAATTGTCTTTAAGATATTCTACAGTTAATACAGAAAATATGCAGAAAGTTATCTAAAAATTGATGATTACATAATCATTTGAATCCTAGTTAATTTTTTAGTCTTTATTTTGTAATTTTCTGCTCGTTCATAGTTAATATAAGAAAGTTTATTCTGTCGACTAAAATTACATATATTGAATCTAAGGGAACTTTTTATAAAAAATTTATTACTAAAACGACAAATAATTTATTATTAATAACCGCCATAAACTTGTAATAATTCGATGTAGTATTATGAACAGCCCGAGTTGTTAAAGCATTCATTTGGAAGTAAACTAAATTTATTTTATCACATTAGTCTCTATTTATGATTATTACTTTAATCACACGCTCTTTAAACTTTCAAAAAATCACCGTTTTCTCAAGTTGCATAGCTTTCATTTAATTATTTTCGTAATAATCATTCATTTATATCGAAGTAAAAAACTAAATTCGATTGAACAAAATTGTTGCATAGAAATTATTTACATGATTATTTTTAAATTGTAAAAAGATAATTATTTCTCTAGCCATATATTATTTTGGAAATTCTTAAAAAGTTTGTAACTAACCAAAAACGTTCAGAACAAAAACAAAATACTCCGATAAATAAATTTATATGATTCTATATTAATTGCTCATTAGCTTTTTTTTTAATCGGCGATGAAATTGAAGGCATATAATTATTAGATTTCAGAAAAATCATTATTTTAGAATCTTTTTTTTGATGTCAAACTTCAAATAATCGACCAAATTTGGCTGTTAGTACAGTATGATTTCATTTAGATTTGAAATCTGATAAAGCAACAATTTGTACTGAAGACAATTAGTAAACTTAATGCAACAATAAATCAACAATTAACTCCATTTATCTAAATTTAAAATAATACCAAAATGAAACGTGTCCAGCATTCACATAAGTATTAATAGTTTCATAAATTATAAGACTGATTTGAAACTATTTATAGCTTTAACAATATTAATCTTTGTACCATAAACTGATTAAATGTACTCAATATACTTTATCAATTCTTGTCCGGCAATTCGGACAAGTAGGTGTTACCTGCAAAAATTTTTCAAATTGAAATATAATTATTTCTTATTGGATTAATTTTTTTTTTTAAACTAAAAAAAATTATAAGTCATTCTATTACAGTTTTAAATTAAACAGTATTTTTACCATTGATCCTCGTTGTTGCCAATCCTGGATGCATTTTTTATGAAACGAATGACCACATCGTTGAGTGCTAACATGCTGTACAGCTATTTCATTTAAACAAATTGTACAATCATTAGTTACATCGATTGCATTAGATCCTTTTCTTCTCTGTCTTGGTCTAAAAATATAAACAACGATACAGACTTTATTCAGCGCATGTAAGCAAATATGTAAAGATAGATGAGCCAAAATTAATAATAACATAAGATTCAAAAATAAATATAATAACTTCTCACTTGGAAGCTAATAAATAAAAAATATTATTACCTAGTATTATTTGATCTAGTCCAAGAATGTGGAATTTCAGAAGGTGGCCCACTTCCATTAGTTCCATGGGCATTATTCTGATGAGAATTATTTGAATCGGCAAACATGTAATACAAAATCGTAGCTAAACTAACTCCAACCACAAAAACAAACGCCATTCCCGGGTAAGTCATCGTTAATAGTTTTTGCTGATTTTATTCTAACAATAAGTGAGTTGCTCCGACAATCTAAATATATTTGCGATTTTAACAACGAAAAAAACTCAAGTATCAACTTTATATAGCTGAACAGAAAATTAGAAAATTTTCTCTCGACGCTCAACAGTCTTTGTTACACTTTTGACAAACTATACTATAAATTTACGGTAATCCCAAACATCTAATATAAGTGGAAGTCATGAAAAATCAACTGTATTTCAACTTGTCAATTTCTGTTTTTTATAAAAACATAAATATGCTTATGTGATCACAAAATTGGTTGTTACTTTTATTCACTCACGTTTATCACAGGTAAAATAAGGAAAGAGAGGAGCATCCATATAACCTAATTTAACTGCGTATATGACTGCTACCAACTACACATATTGTATTAAGACTTGTTGAGACTCGCGTGTTTGGTTGCTAACCCTCTTGTTATTCATCATTTCTTTTTTCAATGTATTGGGTTTTTGCTCGATGCTGCTCAGACCAAAGTCGAAAACTTCCGAGCATCTGCGAATAATTCCGAAGCAATATTCATTACTTTTGAATTGAATTTTTAATAGAGTTTAATGAATAAAAAAGTATAAATAAAAATAAAATTAAGCTAACAAGAGTAAAAATATTAATCTAAAAACAGGCAGGGTTATAAAATATTTTCTTCACGTTTATAACGATAATGTATTCCACGTTTTCATGACAATAATAAAAAAATTTTATATTTTTATGAAATTAAAGATAACATCATAGTATTCAACATTTTCACCATTTTAATTTTTACCAATTTCAATTTTACCTCGTCAACAATGATTCGCTCGAAACTTATCGTAAATATTCGGATAAAATCGACTTCGCTTTTTGTTGACCAATCTGAGCAAAAACCGAATAAGCTGTGAGTTTGCGCATATCATATTCTCTTTCACCACTTGGATAGGGTTTAACCTCTTTTTCATATATAATATATGAATATAAATGATTTTATATATTAAAAAAAAATAACAATCGTTAATAAAATAGTGAAAAACGTCAAAAATCATGAATGTTTTACGTTCAAGTTCGTTACTTGTTGTACAAGCGTATAAACTGAACTCCATTAACACAATTGGTAAGAATATTTCTTCTCAATAATTGTTATAATTTCAATTCAAATGGATTAATTGAAGTGTTAATAAATATTCAGTAACTGATAATTTATCAATAAATTGATTATACGTTCATATATCACCTTTATTACATATTACTTAGGTTTTTATATGAATGTCGAACTAGTTTTAATTATAAAATATTTTTAAAATTATAAATTCTTTTCCGTTTTTAGGTAAAAGATACATTCGTCGATTTATTTCTCCAGTTTTAAAAGAAATAACAAGACGTAAAAAGAAAGAAGCATATGACAAATATTTTCGAAAAACAGTTCATCACCCTAGAAGTGGATTTTTAGAGTGGAATTATGATGCAGAAATCTATGCATTTAATCAAAGACTTAAAGAAAAATTTGATACTGATCTGCTTATACAAGCACTAACTCACAGATCATATGTTATTCAAGAAGAACAAAAACAAAAGCAATTAGGTATTGAAGATCCGGACCTCAAAATGCCAGATAATAAAGATTTAATTAAACGTGGAAAAACTCTTACTTCCAAAATCATTCAACTGTATTTAAGTTCTGCTCTACCACGAGCTCCAGAAGAATGTATTCGGTAAGCAATAAAATTTGTAATTATTATAGATTTTTTTTTAATATATTACAAAATAATTTAAATGAATTTTTTTCCACTTCAGAGCTTTTCATGATCACTTGATGCTACCAACTACATTAGCTAACAGCTCCTCTTTAATTGGCACTAAAGATATCATTTTAAGTGAAGTAAGTTATTACTAAAGATAAATACCAATAAAAAAGTGATACTAATAAGTATTTGCATAATTATTCGTAAATACACTTATTTAAAAGAATTTATATTTATAAATAACTTGTGTACTAACTATATTATTTTGAATTGTAGGAATATCCTCCTAGTCAAGAAGTATTAGCTGAAACATTTTTGGCCTTAGTTGCAGCTCTTGCAGAAAGTGTTGATGAAATTCACGCAACTAAATTCGTAAGAGATTTCTTGATAGCAACTCTTGCAGAAAAAGATCTTGGAGAAATATGGTCTCCAGAAAATCCTTTAACAATTCTAAATGATATACTAATCAAAGAGGGAAGACAACCTGTAGAACCTAGAATTATAGCTCAGTCTGGAATCAATACCGTAATGCCAATCTATCAAATCGGATTATTTTCAAATAAAGAATTCATTTCTGCTGGCTTTGAAGACAGTATAGACGGAGCAGTCCACGCTGCAGCATTAAATGCACTTTATAAAATGTTTGATATTAGTGATTCAAGTAAACCAATGAAATTCAATTTGTTGATTGATCCATCGGTAGATAAAATGAACAATTTACCTCTTCATAAATGGTGTACAGAAAATGTACAGAAACTGATGCAAAAAAATTAATACCTGTTATAGAAACAAAATCTTTTATTTATTTATTTTATCAATAGAACGCTTATTTAGACATTAAACGAATTACAAAAGTTTTACTAATCTGTACATAAAGAAAAGCATTTACTGCACTTTGTTTAAATGATACTTTATATATGTATAAAGTATGTGTTTAGATCGTTTTAACAAAGAAGATTTTTATAGAATTTGAATAAAAGAAACTTCTTTATTATAAATATTTAAACATCATAAAAATTATAAATATGTGATATGACAACTGAACATTAAATAAACTTGAATGATAAACATTTATTGTAAATCAGCGCTATCTAGTCAACTTGTAATTTATTTTTCTTCAACACTTTTATCTTATCTACTGAGAATCATTGAACGATCTTTCAAGATAACTGCAATACCGAACATGAATGCTGTTCAATTTTGTGAAGGTTATACATGTGATTTCCCTATGCCCTCCTACAAAAAAATGTCCAGTACTGTACAGGGAATGTGAATGAAATTACTTATTTAATCATTAAAATGTAACTATAAAACTAGCATAAAATATTCAAGTAGCCCATGAGAATAATTCATTCCTAGAAAAATTATAAATAACGTCTATTTAAAAATGAAAGAAGGATAAAATGTGCAGATCGTTAGTAGAAAAGATGGCGTTCAAAGCAACGAAACTATTTAATAGATGGCTACAACCGCTATTTTATTAATTTATATTTACTGAACAACTTCACAAGTCATTCACTTCAATTTCAACTTCCTCCTCAACAACTTTGTGCTATTTAATTGAAAACTTTATCAACATTAATTTATAATTTGTTATAGGCTGTGTACGTACACAGATATATTACGTGACACTTTCCCTACATTGAACTGTGTTAAAAAAACATTTTAAAGCTGATAGATTCATGGTTTATTTTGATGAAAATTATGTATATTTGACATATATTTTAAACAAAACTAATTTTGTAGACTGACAATCTTATTCCAGAGCCATAAAATGAGTATAAAAATAACCATTTATATAATTTAAACCATTAGTCCTTTTTGGAGTTAAAGTAATTTCTCATGGCTTGGGTACATTTCTAAATTTAATGTTTCAATGACTAAGCTAAATATTACTGAATTTAAATAAATACTGATTACCTTAATGATTTTATATGTGAATACCAAGAAAAATACTACGATTTATTTTAATGATGAAAATAATAAACTTATTAAATTTTGATAAATGACTGATTTTTTCAACGATAAAAATAAATTTTCTAAAAAAATATTAGAAACGCTAAACTTTTTCAAATTTATTTTATTAAATATGTTTAAATTTGATCAAGCGGACAATTTATCACATCTTATCAAAGTACAGATGTACATCTAAGATGAGTTGAATTACGGTTGAACAGTCGCATTAGTCATCCACAGGTTTTCGTTTTCCTCTTACCCCTTTCACTCTGTCTGGTTTAAGATAAAAATGAAAGGATTTACAGGGAGGTGCTTTAGCCTCGTCATGCTCAGGTGAGTATATCAGTCTTATCTCTAGCAAATACTTATCATCGAGAACACGGCGCATTATTTCGTATAAATGCTAAAAAGCGCGAGTATATTATTGAACCCACCCACGCTATTCCTCTATTTTCTCAGCCTCTTACCCTCCTTAAGACTTTATCACACAACTATAATTTGATAACGCTGTTTTTTTTTCATCTTTCATCCTCCTTTCGACCTCGGATACTGATTACATACTTTCATTGGTCATAAACACAAGTAACTACTGTACTATCGACGTGCCACATACAGGTTTAAGCCTGCATTCAACGGCCTACAACTTTATCTTTTTTCCTCTCAAGATATTGGATTGAAGTCCACGTACATAAATCAAAAGTTAAACAAAAGCAACCGAAAATACTTGACAATTTTGGGGCCAAAAATCTCATTTTTATAATAAACTCGACCTTTCATTTCACAAGAAATCAACTTTAAAAACTCATCTAAAGTCTTACAAAATTCCTTATCTTGGATTTATTTAAAGAAAATATTTTTTCATAATGATTTGTTTATCAATGTAATCTGAATTCTTATCCAATTTGATGATAAAATTTGAAAAGAAGCAAATAGGAAATTCATTAAATTTGATCATGAATGCTAGCACATCATGCATAGATATATTGATTATTTATGGCTTGAGCTATCCCCTTTAACGTGGTTCATCCTTGTCTCACCCCTCTACGTCTCGGTCTTCCATAGCAGTGAGTCCCCACTATGTTCTCCAATCCAAGAGCTTCCTTCTTGCTCTTACCCTCTGGATAGCTTTTTTCTATCTTTTTTCTGCTTATATTCAACAGCATCAGATTCTCTTCTACATTCGTTCTATCTCTCTTTGCTCCTGCATGTAACGACTCAATGGCGCTGCCACACCCTTTTGCCGTCCAGTAATCAACGCTATTGTTGTTTTAACTCTTGCAGCGTGTGCTTCTCAAGCCATAGAGACATGCACCAACCATAGAAGCTCTAGATAGTAACTTTGAAAATTCGATCAAATCTCCCTAAAGATCTTAAAGCTATTTGGGTGCTTCTTCGCTAGCTTTTGAACCATGGTCTCTTCCTTTAATGTTTACTCATTCACTCATTTCTTTTGTATTTTAACCACAGTCCTACGCCCTTGGATCTTGCGGAACAAAACAACCATACGGAACTCTGTCTCCACCAGAGCTGCGTTTCGAATTCAAGATCAACGATGCGTACTATGGATACGTAACATTGGCAGAAAACAGTATTCAAGCTGACGTTCGCTTATTACACTTGTCTTTTGCTCAATCAAGAGCAAAAACTAATAATGAGCTAAATCTTATATTTTTACTATTTCCCATGTTTAAAATATTGTTTTTTTCCAGTTTAAATAAGCAAAAAAAATTAATGAAATCTTACTGAACTCATGTGCAGAAAGTTGAAATTAAAACAGATTCAACATTTAAGTTCATTTGCAAGGACAAGTTGGTCCATTTGCACAGGTGGTTTATTAAACCTTTGGGAATTAAGTCCCAGAAGAAGGCTATATCTAACCTTCCATTAAAATATTCCTCTTCGTTTCCTTCTTTCACATAGAAAAGCTTTTTTTCCAGATGATAAGAAAGGATAACTTTCAACCTGTTTTCTACAACGTACTTGGACTTGGCGGTCAATAGAAAATAACTCAGTATTTCTCTTCTCATTCTTTTTCTTTGCGCTCCTTCTCACAGTTAGGATAGGACGTGCACACATAAGGGAGAAAAAACTGGGGACTTGCAAGGGCACTAGTATAGTCTCGCGACCTGAGCAGGGTCAGCGATAAACAAGTAGGAACTTCGTCCGGGCGACTTTGATCACGATTAAGGTAGAAACTTTACTACATCCTGACTGATGTTATATATAGCTACCAACTTGATAGGTAAAATACATTACCCATATCAGTCATCAAAAGCTAACCTGTAACAAAAAAGTTGAAGTTTTTCACTTTTCCCTAGTACTTCCATGGAATTATAAAAAAGTATGATTAAATGAGAATAAATAATTATATTTATTTAACATGTTTTTCTCATATTTGTATGTTTTGGTAAAATATTCAACCTTGTGTTTGAATTAGAACATGAAACAAAACAAAAATGTGTTAAATTAAGAATTAATGTGTAAATTGTTAACAGAAATATGTACATATATGATATTTTTATTCCTTAAAACTTTGTGTTATTTGTATTAGATGTAAATGACTAAATTGCCTTTCACGTCGCCCATCACATGAAATTAGATGGCATTCAGCATCTAATAATGATTACGAAATTGTAATTGACTTCTGGAACGATAATGCTTGTGTAATCTCATTCACTTTCAAGTTCGTGGCTGCATGTTTTAGGTTATGTATGTATTTCTTTTTCCTTTGCCAGACAAGTGTTTTTAATATTCTTTAATACACGTAAAAATTGTAGATATGATATTCAACGACAAGTAGAAGCTTTAACGATTGTTTATGATAAAATAACAATAATAATCACATCTTGAAAAATTTCTGTTTACATTAATAATTAATTAGATCATGTTGGATTACACAGTAAAGTTCATTTGCGATGCTTCTATATTCGTGCGCTATGTCGACCAAATGAACTTTTTATCTATATAATATAAACCTAACAATTAGATAATAGTAATTTGTTGCTCATATATGCAATTTTTAATAAATTTAGATAGTTTTTTTTCAAATATCATGTTGATTTTATTGTAAAATATTAATGCTTAAATTTTAAAAGTTCGATGTGTCGTCATATTGAGTCAAAGCCAACGATGCAACTTCTCAATTATACAAAGAATTAAGTGACAAGTTGAAGGTCTAATTTATCAGTCATCTGCAAGCAATAGTTATACATATATGTTTCTGTAGACTCTGGACTACTCTGCAAAAGAAAAACCTTTTTGTGGTATTGGCTGAAAGAATTGCTTCAACAACTCACACGAAACCAAAAGGTATTGTTCATCTTTCAAACTACTTCTCTATACTATACCGTCATTTCTTAGAACTCTTTGCCCCAGCGCGTTTAATTACTCTTCTCCCACGAGAAGAGATGCGCTGAGTCACACAAGCTCTAGCCAACGCCAGTGAGCATATGTGTAAAAATCACATACATGTACTATACAGTAAAATCCATATACATTTATATAGACACATGTTATTCTACACATTTATCCATCAGTACGTTTTCTTAAAACGTTTTTAGTCGACCGCTCCTCTTTCTTCAGCATGCGTAGGCACAAAAAATGCTGCAGTCTTTTTAGCAGTGTATGCGACCAGTATAATAAACGAGATCCGTTGCGTTGTACTCTGTCAAGGACGTGCTGACGAAAAATAAATTGATAGGAAATGTCGGACGCGAGACAATCGGTGTCAATGAGTTGACCGAGAGAAAGAAATAAAAAAATATAAAAAAAAAAAGAATAATATAATGAAACAGCTGGCAGAATTCACGGAAGTTTTACGACAATATATATAATGACTAATGGAATGACACATTGAGAACAATCATCATGACAGTCTTCACTACTGATGATGATGCGTCCTTTAATGAACAAAATTTTTTACGACTTTTTTTACTCTATCACCTTCTTTACATCCTTCGAACACTAACATGCAATTGATGCAACTAATCATCGTTTCTAAGGTGCGGTTTGGCACGCTATTTGTCTATTATGTTTCTTCACCTCGTCTAACGAGTATAGCGAATAAATTACAATAATTAAAGAAAATACTGATATTTTACATTAACTCGAGTACTTGAAAAATGAACTCCATCAAATTCGCCAATGTAGTTATATCCAAAATTATCTTAATGATTATGAGCTTGGAGCTTATGAATACATCACTAACATTATTTGATATTAAGTTCTATTTATTTCTTTTTATTAAAATTTTTTATTTCGTTCTAATTATTTTTCAAATCCACCCAAAGATAAAGTTGAATGTCACTGCTTTAACATGTTTATTTTATTTCATCTAAAACGAGCTTTTGCAAATCTAAAGTTTTGAAATTTATACAATCTACAGACACTAAAATAAAGTAGAATATTTTATGAAATAATTGTTTGAAAGAAAAAAATATCTATAAATTAAAATGCAAAATCGATAAAATTAAAAAAATTTCAAATAAATAGTACTTAATGAAATTATTATTTTTTATTCAGAAGTTGAATTCATATTTACCTGTTCTCGTTATTTTCCTGCAGTTCAGATATACAATATATCAACAGAAAGAGTTATTGACTGCTATGCCTTCACAACAGACGAGGCACAATCTCTTCCATGCGCTAAAAAGTGCCAGCATGGCCTAATATTCATTTCATATTCTGACTGTAGCATGCATATGAAGAAAAGGTGTCAAGCTATGCGATTGTAATACAATAACCTGTGACACTAATTACTTTAAACTCCATACTTTTTACCGATAATAGCCCTCATATTTTTAAGTTTAATTCGTTAATGTTTTAAAACTGTTAAAGATGAAGCTAAATATTTAAAAAATATTGAAAAGTGTTCCCTTAAAGCTGAGAGGTGCATAAGTAGGTTTAACGTGACTTTCCGTGCTTGTAAACCTAATACGCGGGCATAAATGGTGCGGGAGGAAAACAAGGTCTTGCTCCTGAAAATTCAAGGGATGCGATGGAAAACTTGAAAGGCACGTCCTCCCTAGAAACTTGGGTTTATCTCTTTTTTAGTTTCATTCTGTCTTCGTTCAATGTTTTATCTTTCTATATCTCCAACATTGCCCTCTCACTCAACAGAACGGGATTCTTTCCTTCTCCAATTCGCCGTTCACTGGCATTACCAGTGTGTTGGTCGATTCGCCTGGCGTCCATGAGCAATACGCGGCCGCACGCATTGTTGCCACATGTATAAATTAAACTAACAGTGTTGCCAACTTTTCTTTTGCCTTGCGCATCATTCCCTTCTCGCCGCCCAACCTTTTGCCGCTTCAGGACTACAAGTCGAGGCTTCCCTTGCCCCGCCACTTCGATTCATTCGTTCCAACGTTCCGCAAACCCCGCGAACGACCCCACCATGCTTGGTGATCAACCGCGCTTTCCCCGCAGCCCCATCCAGCTTGAAACTCCCAGCCGCCTAGCTGCCAGCTCGCCTGTGCTCGATCCCAGGAACGTACACTTTGTGGGCACTATACAGATAATATGATTTTTTTTTTGCCACGTCTTCGATATTTTATTGTACTTATATTTTTCAATTTTCACTGTCTATAGTATCCATAAAATAATAATTGTGTTCATTGGTTCGATCATTCTCTTTGAATATAAATAAATGACTTATGTAATGAAATTATGTATCAGAAGACATAAAGTTATGATACAAAGAAAATTCAAAATTTTCATAGTAACTTTGTTATACCTTAAACAGGTGAATTTATACAACATTAAAAACTTTCACTGAAAGTTCATCATCCATAGAGGAAGATAAGAGAGAAAGAAGAGAGAGATAGAGAATAAGAGGGAGAAGTGGGAGGAGGTGAACCGAATAGCATACGTGTGTGAGGTCTTGCAACTTTATATCCAGCAGACACGAGCAGCCGGATCGATGAAGTTATATCCGGGTATCCACTAACGTTCTACACGGCTCGCAACGAGATTTGAACTTTAAAAAATTATCATTCGGGTAGGAAGGAATTTTTTAGATAAGAAATTATATGATGTTAAAGACAAGAAAAAAAAAATAAAAAATAGTGATAAAAAATTCACAAAAAATGGAAAAAACAGACTGTAATAGTCTTGCTTCACTGGACCGAGTAACAATTCTTAGTGATGCTGCTTCTTGAGGAAAAAAATATTTCACAATAATTCTCCGAATAAATTTGAAATTCCCCAATAATCATTTAAAAATGTCTGTAGTATAGAGAATATAGCCAACACATGGTATTAAATTATTTTTATATCCACAAGTTGAAACCGTGGGCGTGAGTCAGAAAAAAATTAAAGAAAACACGAGATTAAATCTTTTCCTGTTCGCTACGCTTTCATTAAAACGATCGAAGATGTAGAAGCACTTGGATTTCGAGGTCGTTCGAGGTTATTTTTGTTTGAACATGCGAAACGGCATCTATGACCATACCACGTGAGAGTCCATATATAATATGAGAGAGTACAAGAGTCACCAACCGATGTTAAACTATTTAAATATTAACGTCTCATATACAATATTCAAGATAATGTACTTGGGTCTTTAGAATACTGACTACACACATGACCACAGGAATTTTAAAACATAATCTCCATCTATGCACATTAAACATTTGATTGATCTTGAGGACTCTTGGTGGTTATTTTACAATATATCCTTTGAAAAATTTTAAATTTTAAATAAAATAACGGTGCCACTAACATTGTAATTCGATGTCTCTGCAATATAAATTATTTATAATCTTCTTGAAACATTCTTCAATGGTTATTTTATGATATTATTTAAAAAAGAAAAATATCATAAGAATCATGTAAGTCATTTTTAGAACATTTACTGGATTTGAAAATATATATTGCCACTGATACTATTGCACGAAGAGCAATTTCCACGCTAAAGAGTTTGAAGAAAATATATTTTATTCATCATCTATATTCTCATAAATTTTGACATAATTATAAGCTTTAATAAATTAAAGAAAATTTGAACGATTTAAAACTTTAGTAAATTGCTAAAAATTTTTTTATATTTTGAAAAATCCATGAGATTAAAATAAGGCTTTATTTTAATATTTTTACAAAACTCTCTCTATCACTGTAAATTGAAAAAATTCACATTTTTTCAGCAATAAAGTATCACAATACAGCCTTTGAATAAACATGAACCGAAAATATTCCATTTTTGATTGATTTAGAGGACGTTGAGTGGATGTTTCTCAATACTATTTTTGATAAAATACTTTACTAAAATAATAGTTCGTATGATTATTTTTCAATATGCCTAAAGTTTAGAAAATTTTATTATTTAATATAATATCGCTGGCAAAATCATTTAAATTAAAAAAATTTAAAAATAACCAAACGTTGTCTAAAAATAAGTAGTTATTTTAGATTCGAAAATTATCTCTGAAAACAATATTGACCATAATAAATAACAAGGGTCTTCTAGAAGTAGATGTACCTAAATAGCATGATATCAAATTTTTAACAATATCAATTATTGAAACCTCCATTTATACATATTTTTCTACAGAAATGTATAGTTAATTGTAGCTTTAAGTTTTTTTCAATTTTAGCATGTCGGAATGTGCAGTACAAAATGAATTTTTAACATAGAAAATAGAGCAAAAAATAATAAAAAAGGTTGTGTATTATAGATGAAAAACTAGGTAGGTCCATTCGAAGTTTATAACAATTAAAGGAATGACCGGGATAAACGAAGGGCATCTCATAATTTGTGGAAAGTTCAAACTAAGTATTAAAGAGTCTATCCCCTTTAAGTCGGGAGTCGCTGGTTTGTTCTGAACAGGCGGTACTCCATGCGACCCGCTAGCGTTCTCGTGCAAACTTCTCTTCTCGTACGGGCTTGTGCTCTCATCTACATCATGGCTCTTGTTGAGACCCGCGTGTTTTTACGATACCACGCGCGTTAGCAACTAGCTTTAATCTTGTGGCATTACTCATAAAATTTATCAAAAGTGTGATGTACCATTCAACACATTGAATCTTAAGTTTAATGAGACGTTTAGCTGAAAAAATATAATAAACGAGTTGTTTGGAGTTATTTTCACATTTGGCTGAACTTTGAGTGTTCATTTCTCTAGTTTTAAGTTCCTGTTCATATCACTGAGTGAAGTGCGAGCATGCGCATATATATTCCATTTTCAAGTGTAAAAAATAAATCTTAAAGATAAAAAAGTGCTAATCTACAAAGAATCATAATTTTATGAGACATTGGAAAATTCTTCTATAGATCAAAATTTGAATAAGGGGTTCATCAATATTTGTGGAATTCAGTGGAAATTAATATTTCTCTATAAATTCCACGAGTTTTTTCAAAGAAAAAAAGTGCAGGAAAAAAATCCTTTCATCAAGCATTCAAAACAGGTGTGGATACTCCCCTTTTCTCAATCTCCCACAGTGCTCGAAAAAAATGTTAGAATGAGAGTCGTAATTTGGTACATTTGGAAAACAAGAGAATTTGAAAGAGAAGCGAATTGAAAGAAGATAGAAAAGGGAGAAGCGAAAGAAGAAGAGTTATAGAGACAAGAGCAAAGTTTAGAGTAGTCATAGCAAAAGAGCGCCTCCTGGGCCCCTCCTCGACGCGTCCCTGTCCTGCCGCAACTCCCCTTCTCCACTACTCCTACGTTACTGCCCCCCCCCACTACCGCACTTCGTCTCTTGCAATATAGCGGCGTCCTTTCCCTCTCTCTTCAGACCTCTTGCCAGCCGTTGACGACGTCGCTCTCCCCTCTCGTTTCACCTCACCGCCGCGCCCGGCCGGCCGTCCATCCGTCCGTCCTTACGTCCGTCCGTCCACGGTGTTTCGATCTATGGTTGTGTCGGTGTGTTCTCTCTTCGTGACGTTAACCTGGCGGCCCTGAAAACCTACGGGCCCGTCCGCGCACCTAATTCGGCCACCATCTTCTGGAATACAAGTTTGATTAATACCAGTGAGTGAGAATAATATCGACATAAAAATTACCCCCATATTTTGTCGTCATTGCCGTTGTGTGTCGTTGCATCTTTACTTTACAGAGTAAAGACTTGTCTTTCCATACATACATACAGTGTGTTTTGTTTCATTGCGGCGTGTTGTATATGTGCTGTATGCGTACTAAACGTTCTATGCCTTCCTCTTTTTCTCCTCCAACAATTTTGGCCCGACTGAGGAGGAAAAAGAGGACAGTGATTTTAGCAGTGCCACAATTTTACGAAAAAAAATTTCTGTTGGGGTAAGAATTCATTCAAATGTTCTCTAAAACAACAAAGTATTAGAAATACATAGACTACAATTCAACATATAGTTGAATTTCTAAATAACGAACAAAATGCGAAAAATTTATATGAGGCTTTTGAAATTTTTTTTATTTTCATTCTATTTAAAATACTTCTTTAGTCTTTAAAAATAATCATCAGAGGGAAATTCTCCAAATGGAAAATGATAAACGAAATGGAAGTTATGAAAAATATTTCTAAAAGGTCTCTGAAGATTTTTCAACCATCTTTATTTATTTTTACTGGTGCTTGAAAATTTACCTCTCACACACATAATATACAATCTTTGTTTTCTCGTTTTTTTGCTTTACATTTCTTTTATTCGCACAACACATATCTTTTTCTTTATTTTCACCATTTGTTATCTCTATTTATTCCACTAAATTTCTTTTTTAATAACAAATTTCTACACCTGCATCTGCATAAATCCAAAACGTTACGAATCGATATTTTCCAAATTTTTAACTATCGTTGGTACTTTCAAGAAGATTCTTTTGTGTTCATATTTTTGGAAAATAAAGTGTTGAAACAAAGCAAAGTGAAATGAGAAATGCTCTAAGTTCAATGGAGAAAAACATTACGACCAACATGAAATAAGGCAAGTGAAGTTTAGTGCTAAAATAAATGCATTAAAGTTATACAGTGTTAAATAATGTTTTGTGTTGATCATAAAATGAATATAAAGAAGAAGAAAGCATTGGAAAGCATTTGATATCGTGGGACGCGCGACTACGCCATCTCCTTGGTGCTGCTTGTGCTCTCTCTCGTCAGTATTTCTCCAGTAGTGCACGTTGACCCGGCGCAAACGCCGGGCCTTCGCACCACCCTTTGGACTACGACGAAGATCTCGACGAAGCCACGCAACGCATTCGAATCTCGCAGGTTCGGAAATTATTCGATTTTCATTTTGTATTTCTCATTATTTATGTGTCACAAAATGTGTTCTCATTTATCGACCGAGAATGTGAGAGTGTGAGAGAGCGAGTGAGAAAGAAAACAAGAATTCTCTAATTGTGAATGTGCTAAAGTTCCTTCATGTTACGCCCATGTTTTTCAACCCTATGTACGATTTATCTTTACGTTTTGTTCGCGTTTTCGTCGTCAATCTTCGACATTTCTCCTTTATCGTGACGAAGTTTCCATTTCAGACTGTAAGTTAAGATTGTGCGCGGCCAACGGGAGTGTCTATCTCAGATCACGTAATTTGTGCATATTTTTTCAAGTTAAAATCAACATACTTTGAGAGTTTCCTTTTTTTAGAACAATAATTTCGTGAAAATAATTAAACTATTCTCGAATAAAGTAAATTTATAAATTAGTGTTTGTTCAAACATATATTGAATTTTTAATTCAACTCAACTTTTTGGAGGACTGAATAACTGAAACATTAACCAACATAACATTATAGAAACTGAAACAAAGGTAAAACAATGTGAGTGGTCTTGTTTAAATTCTTCAACTATCTATCTATGATTCAAAGAAATAATGATATAACAGATGGTTACGAAAAAATACCAAAATCAAAGAAAAACGAAATGAAAGAAAATGAGTCAAAAAGAGTCATTTTCCAAAAATTTATTATTTTTTTAATGAATTCAAAAATAGTGTAACAGTTATTTATTAATAGTAGACTTGTTTTTATTTCTCTCTTCAAAAACTCATATCACCGACGGCGAGTGATATCTTTTGTTGTTCATTGTACGTATTTCAAGTTATCTTCAAATCTTTCTTAGATATGTTATATGAAAGGTTCTAAGTGAATGTTTTTATTTCTAAGAAGAAATACTTGTGTTGAGCTCATCTTTAACAAATCTTTTCTGCAATAGTTGGATTCCTCAATTTTTTTTTTAGTTCATTATAACAATTATTAATTTTAGATTGTTTCAGAATAGTTTTATCTTTTTATGAGTTTATAATAAAGAAGTGAATACTAGTGGATGTGAACATTTTTAATTGAAACTTTTTGAATGAAATTATAATTTGTGTAAAAATAAAACAGAAAACAATCGGACATTAAAATTATTATAATATCGATTTGTGGAGTTTTGAATATAAGAATTCAAATTATTAGTGTGTGTTTTAAAATGATTGGATTTTAATATCAATTTAAGTTTTTCTTTTTGCTTAAAAAAGTCAATTTCCATTTTGTGAAGGTGCTAACTTAGTAATGAAATAGAACTCCCGACGCTTCGTATCATTGTTGCTTCAGTGTTAGCAAACCATTCAACTCGAACTAGGATTTAAATTATTTGAAAGTGTCTTAAAACAATCATGTTTTTCATTAAAATTTTTTTTTCGTACATTCAGTCTTAATTTGTGGTTTTTATTGATGCGTAACGTTCGTTTCCTTACACGATTATTCAAGTTTCAAAATGGTGCGTTCTTAGTTATGTATGACGTGGAATTTGAAGAATATAACTTCATTCATATCTCGTGATTTAATAGGTAATTAAAATGTTCACTATATAACATTTTTCAGATAAAATTAAAAAAAAAAAAAATAAAATTTGGTACGAGTTTGTTACCTGAAGTAGTTTTAAATGAATTTAATTTAGTCTTTGTGTTGGCTTCAGTTGTATAAAAGTGGTTTTGTATGACGTACTTAATTCCTCGAGAAAATTGGATCGTCTTTTATTTCATTCTGAAATACGATTAGATTTTACATTTTTGTGATAGTTGACTTTTTTTGAGGAAAATGTTCAATCAAAAATATTCAAGTGGGTGGGTTTAACATTTAACTCTGTTATATCAGTGATAATAAAAAAGTTCTATTATTAGAAGTGTAAGTGGACTTCAATTTGAGCAATTAATAACGTCATATCTATTAAATAAATAAATTCTTTATTTAATATGATATTTCCAGCAAACTGTTTTTATCCGTTTTTGGTGATTGGAAAGATTATTTTTAAGTTTCATGAAAAATGTAGTTTCGGAGTTTTTTAATTACTGTGAATTTCATTGCAAAGAAAAAAACGAATTTTTTTTGTTTTAGAATTTACGAAATTTACGTATTAACAAGTATTTATTGATAAAGAGATAATCCTCAAAGTGAAAGTGCGTTAAAATCATATTTTCTTATTTGTGCAAAACAATTGTTGAAAAAAACTTGTTATCGTGTTGATAATAATTTTATCTCAATTATACTTCTCTATAGAGAAAAATAATCGTCACACTAGCTTTCAAATGAATCAAATTTATTTAGATATTTATTTTCAAGAAATTCATAATAAATGTTATTGCAAAGTATTTTAATAAAAATTAGTGTACAAATAGGTAGCAGATAAATGGAATATCTATTTGCCATATTATATTAGTTTGACCAAACTCTTAATTATCATTAAGCGATACTATTTAATTAAAAATATTAGTAATAATTTTAGATTTATTTTAAGATTTTTTATTTTAAAATTAAAGTAAAAATGACATGATATGAGAAATTTATTACTTCGTATCGTATAATAGCATTAATTAATGGCTCTAGGTACACAACTTTAGTTTGATCATAAAAGTTAGCTTATTTCATTTTTACTTATTGAATTATTTCGTTTAATTAATTTTTTACTTCGAGCCATTGTGAGATACAATTTTAAAAATTAATTAATCTTAACGTCTTAATTTCGTGTACTTTGAAGTATATAGACGGTGTAATTTGAAAATTTAAATGTAAAAAGCTGATACCGACGGCAATGAACATGTAACTAAGCTCAGAATATGAATTATTAATTTCTTCAAGTTTTCTATTTTTATAAGTGTCAGAGATGTGAAAATATATTTTAAATTCCTATGTGACTCATAAATGCTTTGATGATGTGGAATATTATGATGTAATAAATTAAAATAGGAAAGTTTTTTTGTTTTCGATAAAAAAAATTTCGGCATGAAAAGTTTTTTAATTTTAAAGAAAAAAGACAATTTTTTTATTAATTTAGCAAAGATAAAATGAGTTAATTGATTATTAAATCACATTTATCTTAGTAAAGCAATAAACATCTAGAATAGAAACAATTTTTGATTGGTATATGAGTAAAGTAGAAATGACCTTCTGACAACTTAGCAGTTATTATAGATCTTATATACGTTTTACACACATATTTATAAATAATTTTATCTTAGTATTCAGTAAAAAACTTATGTAAAATACTCCATTAAAAATTAATATTTTTTCTTTAATTTAGAAATCATTTGTTTTACATGCAATATTTTCTTTTATATCAACAGCGCAATATATAATATTCACATATGCAAAACTAACAATTTATCAAGACATTCTATAAATGAATTTCGATGACAATTTTTTATTTTAATACAAACTTAACAGCTAATAACCAAATTTCGTTTATGTGGCTATTTTTTCAAATAGAAATATAACAATAAAAATAAGTTGATAAAATCAAAAATCAGGTCTTTCGATAAAAAGTATGAAAAATCTTTTTTTTTAATAAATGCAAAGTTATTCATAATAACATTGTAAGAAGTAATAACTGTATATTGAAATTGCATTGACAATAACTTTAATAAAAATATTATTTGGTATAGATCAAAAATTAATGAAAGTTACAGTTGAAAATTAACAATAAAATTTTCAGCATTTAACTTTAAATTGTTGAATCATAATAAGCATAAAAATTGCAAAAAAATATTATAAATTATAACTATAGAGTAGAAAAATTTTTTTGTACTTTAAATGCACTCAGTTACAATCAATTCTATAAAATTATTTTTCTAGTTCACATACGTAAAAGGAACCTTGAGCTCGATTTTCATCTCAATACCATCATGTCCACCATCTTAAGAGCATTTTTACTCGTATCCTTGTGTGTTCGAATACCATTTCAGGTCTCGAGATGATGCTCAAAAATACATGTATATTTGTGTTTCAAAAGAAAAAGATAGAAGAGTGAATGTAGGAAGTTGGTAAAGCGCTTAGCCCGTGCTCATGTAATGACCGAAAAATTTT